GCCCGACATCTCTTTCTCGGTTGGGCAGCTGGCCAGGGTGGTGCAGAATCCATCAAAGGAGCAGGTGGATGCAGCTGAGCGCGTGGTGAAGTATTTGAACTCTCACCCAACCATTGGGGTCCAATACTCCGCATCTGCACAGGTGAAGCAGAAGGGGGTTGAGGTGCTGAAGGAGAAGGGGGAGCGGCTTGGAGAAGGCAAGCTGTTTCTGACTTGCTTTACCGATGCTACATGGGCTTCTGAGAAGGAGGATTCCTCATCTGTGGGAGGATACATCTGCGTAGTTGGGGGAGGACCTGTTAGTTGGAGGTCCAAGAAGCAGACGGAGACGGCACTCTCCTCTGTTGAATCAGAATACATGGCAATGTTCCATGGGGTGAAGGAGGTGATTTGGCTGAGGAGGCTGTTAGAGGAGATTGGCCAGGAGCAGAAGGTTGCTACGCCGCTGTTTTGTGATAGCAAGGGGGCTCTTGGGATGGCCAGGAACGCTGTGCTTCATGGGCTGAACAAGCACATGCATATCAAGTGGCACTGGCTGCGTAAGGAGGTGAAGAGGGGGACGGTGAATCCGATTTACATCAAGACTCACCAGCAGCCAGCAGACTTTCTCACCAAGAGGCTTGCGGATAAGCCTCATTGGCGTTGTGTGCGCATGAGTGGAATGAGCATGAACTAGCATGGAATGATGGGAATGCAGCCGGCAGGCTGAGGGGGAGTGTGTTGGGTGCAAATTCACTTTGCACGACATCCTGCCGTCTGTTTGTACGAGTATGCGTGTGCGAGTGCATTTGCGTGTGCATGGTGTGTTCGTGTGTTTGTTTGCTTTCGCAATTTTCGCTTGAAGCATTTGCAGGTACTCGCGCAATGTGCGCTTCGGCACAACATTGTATGCGTTATGAACAGTGCAAGCAGAAAGGACGAGCTCGCAAAGGAACCCAAGATGGAAGCTTTGCAGTTCGGTTGAGTTGATTGCGCAGATTCAGTTCTATCCAGCTCGAAATTGTACTGTTATGTTTGGTTGACTATAGTGTAGCAAGGCAGGCACTATAGGGGTACAATTTAGGTGAAGGTTGGATGTTGTTTGTCTGTATCTGCATGCTACAAGGCCAGGGGAAACCAGCAGAACCAGCATTTGGCTGGTTGGGCAAAGACAAAACAGGTTCTGCTTTTAGAACCTGAACCTGGTTGTTGTTTTCCCAGGTTGGAAAAACAGAACCAGAGGTTGTTTTCCAACCTACCACCTGCTGTTTTGTCCAGCCAGGTTGGTTCTGTTGCTTGGAATTATTTGGGATCATCCCTGGTTGTTCCCAGGTTGATTCCCAAGGTCCTTGCTAGCTAAACTATTTTTTCCATCTCTGTTTGTACTTGAACATAGTCAATTTATTCTTGCAAATTCCTTCCTCGTTGGAATTTCGTTTCTACGCGGTTCGACGGCGGAATGCTACCCAAGTCAACGCTAGTACGCTAGCACTCCAACGCTAGGCAAACGCTGTCCGAGCCATAACTTTGTAATGGCAGAACTTTTCGCGAGGCAACTTGGCTTATTTTAAAGCTCTTGGAGCGAGCTTCGTTATAGCAAATTCTCAGCTTAATCCGATCGACGGTCTGCACGGCACGCTGCGCGACGTTCAAGGTACTCTTGTTATTTTGGCTAAGTCTTTCTTGACTCCTCTCTCTTCAAACTCGGACCCGAGGATAGGGGCTGGTCTTGTGCCAGGCACCCAGGGACCCTTGGAGGTGACCCCGAGGAGAGGTTTTAAGTTTGATTAAGTCCTAATAGCTTGAGTTTATTAGACCCTTACACCAACAACACGTCCAAGCCACACACGACTTTGTCTCCACCATGCAGCAACTATGGGAGCAGACCCAGCGACGTCTCACCACGATGCAGAACTCCTAGAAGCAGTATGCCGATCGCCAGTAACAAGCTCACTCGCAGTCGGAGATAAGATGCTTCTTGACACGCGCAACTTGAACCTGTCTCACCTCCCATCCAAACTCCGGCCTCGCCTCTGTGGTCCCTTTCTCGTTGAGGCACAGGTGACACCAGTTACATTCCGCTTGCGCTTACCTTCTACGTGGAAGCTTCACAATGCTTTCCATGTTCAGCTACTGAAGCCCTACAAGGACCGCGACCAACAGTTCCAAGGACGGCAGCTACTGCCACCACCCTCTGTACTCATATAGGATGAACAAGAGTATGAGATCGCATACTTTCTCACTCATCGGCACCGCAGCAAGACCCTCGAGTTCCTGATACGCTGGAAGGGATATGACCCATCGGAGGACAGTTGGGTTGCAGAAGCTGGTATGGGCAATGCACGTCGTGCTCCGAAGGGCTATCTTGTCAAGCGGGATGTATCTCACGCCACCTAGCTTTGAGGGGGGGACGTGTGAGAGTACGACGGCTTACGATGGCTTTGCTAGCCTGCCAGGACTATATTATGCTTTTTATAGCTTATGTTTTTTTTATCATACATAGATGTGCTTTATTTTCTATGTTATGTGCATTCCTAAATTTTCTTATAGTTATAGCACCAAACCAGGTGACGTACATCAAATTCTAGGCTATTCGGTTGCCACCGAATTGCCTTTTACTGAATCTGGGACGCTTCGCGATCCACGGAACCTTCATGTAACACCTGGGTTACATGCCTTTTTTTGACACTATATATAGCCTTGTGCTATACCTAGGTGGATTGTTCAATTCAAACTCTCTTTTCTGAACTCGACCCTCGATCCTCACATCAGACTTGGGAGGGCGCGGACTTTGGGAGGTTGACTAGGGAGGTCGACCTGGGAGGGTGTCGACTTGGTGATGCCTACCTGGGGAAGCCAGCTTGGTGGGGTCAGCTGACAGCTGTGCCGATCGACCTGTTGTGGTCGACCAGAGGTGCAGTCGTCAGCACGAGGACGATCTGGTGTCTGCGCTGTGCAGGTGACAAGGCGCAGCACGCCAATCATGCGCGAACACCTGCGAAGCGAGTGCGCTGCTGTCTTGCGGGTACAGCGCTGTACAGCCGCCTCGCTGCAGCATTGGCAGCCCATTAACTTGCAGCGTTGGCAGGCCGCGACTTTGCACTGCTGGAGCACGGTCGACCATGTCTGCTGGAAAGCGGACGACCGTGCTGCGCTGGCAGTCGACCTGCATGCTTGCTAGCTCTGATGTAGTCTCTCTTGCCAATGTGATGCATTCATTCTGAACGTTTTGTTGTCAAGTCTTGCTAGTGAAACTCTTGCCAATTCTCCTCATGAATGTGTGCGTAGAGAGAACACAAGCAAACGACTAAGGAACACAGGGATCACTCCCACAACCATCCCTTTCTCGTAGTTAGATCCAATGTCCAATGTTCGTAGACCGGCATCTGTATTAGTCGCCATGGTGGGCGCAGTAGGTGACGCAGGCGTAGCGGATACCCTGGAGACACTGCTGGCTGATGCGAGGAGATGCCACGCAGATGGCGGGTATGGGGAGACGCTCCTCTTGGAGGGCGTCGACCTAGGCATTCTCGCAAAATGTGAGACAGAACACCCTACTCGACCTTAACCAGAGAACAAGGAAGGCGCCGTCGATATGGGCGTCTATGTTGGTATAAGGGCCTAATAATTTCAAGCTATTAAGGCCTAATCAAACTAAAAACCTCTCCTCGGGGTCACCTCCAAGGGTCCCTAGGTGCCTGGTACAAAACCAGCCCCTATCCTCAAGTCCAAGTTTGTAATGAGAGGAGTCAAGAATGACTTAGCCAAAATAACAAGAGTACCTTGAACGTCGCGTAGCGTGCCGTGCAGACCGTCGATCGGATTAAGCTGAAAATTTGCTAAATCAAATCTCGCTCCAAGAGCGTTAAAAAAGAGCCAAGTTGCCTTGCGATAAGTTCTGTCATTATAAAGTTATGGCTCGGACAACGTTTGCCTAGCGTTGGAGTGCTAGCATACTAGCGCTGACTCGGGTAGCATTCCGCCGTCGAACCGCATAGAAACGACATTCCAGCAAGGAAGAAATCCGTTTGAATCAATTGACTATATCAAGGTACAATCAGAGAAGAAATAAATGGTTCTAGCTAGCAAGTGTTGGTGTAAGGGCCTAATAAACTCAAGCTATTATGACTTAATCAAACTTAAAACCTCTCCTCGGGGTCACCTCCAACGGTCCCTGGGTGCCTGGCACAAGACCAGCCCCTATCCTCGGGTCCGAGTTTGTAGAGAGAGGAGTCAAGAAAGACTTAGCCAAAATAACAAGAGTACCTTGAACGTCGCGCAGCGTGCCATGCAGACCGTCGATCGGATTAAGCTGAGAATTTGCTATATCGAAGCTCTCTCCAAGTGCTCTAAAATAAGAAAAGTTGCCTCACGAAAAGTTCTGCCATTACGAAGTTATGGCTCGGACAGCGTTTGCATAGCGTTGGAGTGCTAGCGTACTAGCGTTGACTCGGGTAGCATTCCGCCGTCGAATCGCGTAAAAACGAAAATTCAGCGAGGAAGGAATTTGCATGAATCAATTGACTATATCCAGGTACAAACAGAGAAGGAATAAATAGTTCTAGCTAGCAAGGACCTTGGGAATCAACCTGGGAACAACCAGGGATGATCCCAAATAATTCCAAGCAACAGAACCAACCTGGCTGGACAAAACTGTCAAGATTACAAGACTGGAATGATTGAACTAACAGAGAAATCAGTACAAATAGCTAACCCTAGAATTGTGTACCCCATACAGGCTAACCCACTGTAGCCTAACAAACCAAACATATATAATGTTTGACACACCCCCATAGGCAAAGTGGGGGAGACCTAGGGGTCACAAGACCAGTCAAGGCAAAGTAAGGCAAACAAGCTCAGGGTGGATCTCGAGGATTCCACACAAATTCCGAGCACAAACAAGCGGTCACAAGACCAGTTCACATGCAGGTTTATAATAGAGCAAGACGTACAATGATCACAACCTAGCAAGAGTAAACATGCAGGTATATAAATATATAGTGATCACAGTACAGGCAAAGTCAAGAAGTGAGCAAGTGAGGGCCAGTAGGCACAAGACCTAACAGAGTACAGAAGCGCTGATGGTCACAAGGCTGGAGTGCCTTGGTGAACACATCAGCAGTGTTGGCCTCAGTGGCCACGTAACGCAGACGAAGCTGACCGCGCTGCTGCAGCTCTCGAGCAAGGAAGTACCGCAGAGCAATGTGCTTCGTTCTGTGCTCCAGTCTGTGCTCCTCACACAAGGCAATGGCAGCCTTGTTGTCGACGTACAGCACTGGAGGAGAACGAGGCCGCTCTCCGAGGTCGGTCAGCAGGTAGGTCAGCCAGCGCAGCTCCTGAGCAGCCATGGCTGTGGCGTAGATCTCAGCCTCACAACTGGAGCTGAGAACAGAAGACGAACGAGTAGAACGCCAAGAAACTGAGCCAGAGCCAAGGCTGAAGGTGTAACCCTGTGACGACCGCTGAGTAGCCTGGTCGTCTGCCCAAGAAGCATCTGAGTGCCCTGTGAGAACAACCCGGTCCCGCCCTCCAAGCACAAGCCCCATGCCCGACGTACTGCACAAGTAGCGCAACACCCTCTTAGCAGCATCCATGTGCTCCTTCCTGTGACGGCCAGGAGCGACATAGCGTGCTAAGATGCTAAGGGGGTATGCAAGGTCAGGTCGAGTGCAGGTCATCAGGTACATGAGGCAGCCCACAAGCTCTGGATACGGGCCACTCGGCTCTACGGACTCATCCGAAGGCAGAGCTGAGAGCGAGTGACCGGTAGGCAGAGGAGTGGACTGAGGCGAGGAGTACGTGAAGCGGAAGCGCTGGAGAACCTGCTGCACCATGTGTGACTGAGTCAAGGTGATGGTGCGCCGTGCTCTGTCCCGGGTGATCCGCAAGCCAAGATAGCTTGTCAGCTCACCCAGGTCTGTGCACGTGTGTCTCCTCTGCAGCTCCGACTTCACGTGGGCGAGTGCCGCTGTGTCAGCTGTGGCAAAGACCAAGTCGTCAACGTACACGAGGATGTAGAACGGCGGCAGCGAGGTGTCGGTGCGTAGAAACAGTGACGGGTCAGCAGTAGAGGGAGCGAACCCAAGAGCCGCAAGCGTCGTCCTCAGTGTGTCGTGCCACTCACGTGGCGCCTGGCGGAGACCGTAGACCGGCCGCTGAAGCCTCCACTGGGTGCCAGGAGGAACCGACCCAGTGAAACCAGGAGGGCGGCGCAACCAGATCTCCTCGTGCAGGCTGCCCTGCAAGAAAGCAGTGCTGAAGTCAAGTGAGTGAAGCTCGTAGTCGCGGTGAGCGGCTATGTGCAGCAGCACCCGAAGAGTGGTCATCTTCGGGGTGGGGGAGAAGGTCTGGAAGAAGTCGACTCCCTCTCGCTGACTGAAGCCTCGAGCCACGTAGCGTGCCTTGAAGACAGGAGGAGAACCCGGCGGCCGCTTCACCCTGAAAATCCACATGCCACTGACGATGTTCGCCCCAGGAGGGGGAACGTCGTCGACGTAGGTGCCTGTGGACTTCCAGGAAGCCATCTCTGCGTCCATGGCTGTCTGCCACTGAGAGGAGTAGGGACCCGCCATCGCCTCAGCGTAAGAGCGCGGGGTCGGGATGTCTGGTGCATCCGGGTCTCCCTCAGGGGCAACAAGCATGGACACGAGATGGGGCAAAGCAGCAGCAAAGCACTGGAACTCCTCCTGTCTGTCCTCAAGGACGTCCGTGCCAAGAGCACACTCACCCCCGACGGACGGAGGACAGGCAGACTCAGACTCAGACTCAGCGACAAGGCTGGCAGCGTAGTCTAAGCGACAGCGAGCAGCAAAGTCAACCAGCTCAGCGACCAGAGCAGACGCAGCAGAGGACTCAAAGGTCGGGTCAGTGACAACTGTAGCGAGGAGACGCGTAACAGTGGGACTGGCCGCACGACGGGAGTCAGACTCCGGGTCAGGAAGAGTAGGAAGAGATGACGCAGGAGGAGACGGCAGCGGGACACGCTGCGGAGCAGTGGAGGGACGCAAGGTCATGTAGTGAGTGCCAGGGACAGGAGGGGGACGCTCACGTGGGATACGACGACCAGTGCGAGTAGTACGAACAGGCGACGCAGGACGAGACTCAGGCTCACGACGCTCTGTAAGACCTCCTGTGGGACCAGTGTAAGGAGAGGGAGCAGGGAGAGGCGAGGCAGGCGGTAACTGTGACTGCGGTGGGACAGGCAGAGGACACTCGACGGTGGGAGGAGGACTAGGAGGAGGAGCCTGACCAAGAACCTGCTGAAGGAGTGGTACGAAGTACGGTCGCGGCCGCACAGCGTCTCCAGAACCAGCAGGGACACCAGCGGCAGCCCCAACGCCCGAGTCCTCAGCACCAGCAGCAGCTCCAACACCCGGGTCCTCAACACCAGCAGCAGCTCCAACGCCCGAGTCCTCAGCACCAGCAGCAGCTCCAACGCCCGGGTCCTCAGCACCAGCAGCAGCTCCAACGCCCGGGTCCTCAGTACCAGCAGCAGAGCCACCGGTCAGGTCCTCAGCACCAGCAGTAGCGCCGCCGGTCGGGTCCTCAGCACCAACAGCAGCTCCAACGCCCGGGTCCTCAGCACCAGCAGCAGCTCCAGCGTCCGGGTCCTCAGCACCAGCAACAGCGCCACCGCTCGGGTCCGCTGCACCAGGAGCACCACTCCGAAGACTGCAGCGCCGTGTGTACCACTCTCGGATCACCTGAATGGGGGGGAGCTCCTGGGTAGGAGGGGAAGTACTGGGACGAGCTCCAGAAGCACCTCTCCGGAGGCGGCAGTACTCGAGGTACCTCTCCTGCAGCTGCTGGGAGGAGAGGGCTCCTCCAGGTGTAGTACGCTCAGGCTCAGCACCCGAAGACTCAGCACCCCCAGACTCAGCAGCCCCAGACTCAGCACCACCAGGCTCCGCACCTCCAGGCTCCGCACCTCCAGGCTCAGCACCCCCAGGCTCCGCACGTCCAGGCTCTGCACCCCCAGACTCAGCACCCCCAGACTCAGCACCCCCAGGCTCAGCACCCCCAGACGCAGGACGCGAGTCAACAGCTACCTCGACAGGCTCACCCGGGTCTACCTGGGACACACCTGAGGGAGCGGCACCCTGAGGGGGGAGGGGGTCTGGTACCTCAGCACCTGGAGCGAGGAAGAGAGGCGGGGGGGGGAGCGGGGCAGTGCGGTAGGGGAAGAGGCGGTAGAAGGGGACGGACTCGTCAAAAGTGACGTCCTGAGAGGCCAGAACCCGGCGCGAGGTGACGTGGTAAAACTGCCATCCAGGCGCGTCAGGCACAAAGCCAAGAAAGACACAGGGAACGGCGCGACGCGAGAGCTTGTCCGCGGACGTGTCGCGGACAAAAGCTCGAGATCCCCAGATCCGGAAACGCGACGCATCGCCAACCTCTCCCGTCCACCGCAGAGTCGGGGAAGTCTCCGGCAAGGAGACACGGGGCCAGAGGTTGAGCTGATGCGCAGCGTATCGGACCGCAAACGGCCACAGAAAGTGGGGAGCAGCCGCATGGGTCAGGGAGGTACGAGCGACCTCCATGACTAGGCCAATGCGGCGCTCAGCGACCCCATTCTGCTGCGGAGAGGCCGGAAGCGTGAACGACTGCTCAATACCGTGCTCAGCACAGTAGGCTGCCAAGAGGTCGGAGGCGAACTCACCACCTCTGTCAGAGTGCAAGCGCAGGACAGGAAAGTCCGAGTGAAAGCGCTTGCCTAGCTGGAGACGGGCTCGACTGATCCAGGGGATCAAAACACCAGGGACGTCACCCTTGGCGCGCAAGGGGAAGACTGTGGTGTAGCGCGAGTAGTCGTCAACAACTATCAGGAAGTACCTCTCCTGACCCTGACCACGGACGCGGGCTGGGCCCCACACGTCCATGTGGAGCGTCTGCAAGGGAGCAGTCGTCGGGGGAAAGGAGGAGGAGTGAGGAGCGGCGCGCTGCCGCCCCTCGACACAGGGAATGCAGTCAGGAGCAGGGGAGTCGGGAAGGGGAGGGAGCACCCTGGGAAGACCAGCAACAAGGTCCCGTTTGTGCATGGCCCGAAGGCGCTGCACAGACGGGTGACCAAGGCGGTGGTGCCAGAGGACAGTCTCATGCGCCAGAGAGCGACACGAGCAGGGGGCGGATAGCTGACCTGACGCAGACGCAGACGCAGCTACCTGAGGGGACTCAGTGGTCAGTGTGTACAGGTCCGACCCCGGCTCTCGAGTGAAAGTAGCCAGGTGGCGGCCCGTCCGAGCACACGTGCAGTGTGTCACACGCTCGTAGGCAGGGGTGAACTGGTGAACACCCCCGTCCTGCAGCGCACAACCTGCCACCAAGTTCGTAGAGAACGAGGGGAGGTAGAGACCTGAGAGCGTGCCGGACGGAACCGCTGGACACGGAAGTGTAGTGGAGGAGGTCGCAATGACCGGACCCCCAGAGGGGTCAGCAAGAGAGACAGCAACCGGCCGAGCTAGTGGCTCAAGGACAGTGCGGTCACGAAAGAAAGAGCGAGAAGCACCTGAGTCCAGTGTGAAGGTGTGGAGTGCTGCAGTCGACTCAGTACCAGGGGGCACAGACGCACTAGCACCTAGGGCAGCTGCTGCAGCAGGACCTGTGGGAGCAGACACACTAGCACCTAGAGCAGCAGCTGGGCTGGCCTGAATGCCCGGGTCGGGCGGAACACGCAAGTACTGGGCACCCTCTCCACTAATAGACATCGCATACATAGCAGTGAGAATAGCATCAAAGTCTAAAGCCCAGATATCAACACCCTTCTTTTCCAGCTCAGGCCAGCGGGGGAGCTCAGTAGACCCAGGAAACTGGATGCGCCACGCGTCAGTCAGGCGCTGGAAGCAGCGCTGCGTGGGGTGCGACCTCCCACATGGCTGGCCAGTGCGGTCACCAGTGCGGATGACGTACGTGCAAGTGTACCCACGCTGCGCGTACCACTCACGGGCGGCCTGGAGGGTCGGGGCGTGCTGCTGACTCTGGCCACCTCCAGCGTCTCCACGGCCACCACCGCCACCGCCACCGCCACCGCCTCGGCCACCTCCACCCCTGCCACGGCCACGACCGCCACCGCCGCCGCTGCCACCTCCGCCTCTGCCACCACCCCCGCCGCCGCTGTCACCACCCCCACTGCCGCCACTAGCCTCTCCAGACCCACCGCCACCTCCACTGTCTCCACCCCCGCCTCCCCCGCCTCCACCCCCACCCTTGCCCCCCCTGCTCTTGCGGCGCCCGCTCGAAGCAGACGCAGCCCCGACCTTCTCAGCACCAAGGAGGTCGACAGCAGCAGCAGTGGCGACAGAGGGGAGAAGGGGGGAAGGGGAACACCCCTCGAAGAAGGGGGTGCGGGGCTCGCCACGAGAGGCACCTACGGCGACGATGCTCGCCTCAGCTGCAAGTAGGTCCTTCTCGAGGAGGGCAATGGTGAGCTCAGTAGGGGAGCGAGCTAGAAAGGAGTCCCTGACTGCACGCAGAGAGTCAGGGAGGCGGGTGACAATGTGGTAGAGGGTGAGCCAGAGCGGGGGGGGGTTGCTAGCAAGGAACTCGGCAGGCATGGCAGCGCGAAAACGGGCCTCACTAGTCTTGAGGTGGGTGATGAGATCAGCGACAGTGTGAAAGGAGGCCAGGTCGGGGAACAGGTAGGGCAGGGAGAGGCGGCCTAGGGTGGCAGACGCAGGCGAGGAGTAGCGAGCAACTACGGCTGTGTACAGTTCCTTAGCAGTCTTGCACTGGCCGAAGTGCTCGCGCTCATCTAGCGGCAGGGAGTTGCGGATAGCAAAGCGAGCGTGTGCGTCGCGGGTCTGCCACTGGGAGCGCAGTGTGCTAGCAGCAGAGGAGTCAGGGGCAGTAGCATGGCCTAGGGCGTGGTCGTACAGTGAAATGTCTTCCTTGGCAGTGAGCTGTAGGAAAAGGTGCAGATCATCGAGCCAGGTGTCAAATTTCACTGGGCGGCCCTCAGCGTCGAAGGCTAGAACAGGAGCAGTAGCCATGGTAGCAGGAGGAGGAAGAGTAAGTAATAAACGTGGCAGTGACAGTAGCAGCAGGGCAAGGCAAGGCCGGGGCAGTCGAGACAGCGGCAGCAGATGCTGCAGGTTCGGCTACGGCTGCTGCTGCTGGGTCGGCGGCGGCTGCTGCTGCAGAGGCAGCGGCGGCTGATTCTGCTGTAGCTGCGGCGGCCGCTGCTGTAGATTGCGGCGGCTGCTGCTGCCGTAGATGCGGCGGCGGCCGCTGCTGTAGATGATGCGGCAGCTGCTGCCGCTGTAGATGCAGCGGCGGCTGCTGCAGAAGGCGCGGCGGCTGCTGCTGCTGGAGATGCAGCGGCGGCTGCTGCTGCTGTGGATGCAGCGGCGGCTGCTGCTGCTGTAGCTGCAGCGGCGGCTGTTGCAGTAGATGTGGCGGCTGCAGCTGCTGTAGATGCAGCGGCGGCCGCGGCAGGAGAGGCGGCGGCGGCTGCTGCAGCAGTTGCGACGGCCGCGACTGCAGTCTCTGCCGCGGCTGTTGCTGAAGGCCCGACCGCGGCGACGAAGGCGCGGGGGGGTCGAGCGCAGCACGGAGCAGCGCGACGGGCCGCGCTCGAAGAAAAAAAGAGCCGCGCGCGCCGGCGGCTAGCTAGGCGCGCGCGAAAAATGGCCGCGCGCGGGCTGCTGGCTGGTCGCGCGCACGAAATAGGCCGCGCGCGGGCGGCTAGCAGATCGCGCGCGGTAAAAAAAAAAAGGGATAGCGCACTAGGGGCGCAATAGGAGGCGCACTGAGGGCGCAATAGGAGGCGCACTAGGGGCGCTTGATAGGTATGTAGGTAGTTAGGTGGGCCCTTAAAAACGGTCCTAGGGAAGGACCTGCTCTGAAACCATGTCAAGATTACAAGACTGGAATGATTGAACTAACAGAGAAATCAGTACAAATAGCTAACCCTAGAATTGTGTACCCCATACAGGCTAACCCACTGTAGCCTAACAAACCAAACATATATAATGTTTGACAAAAACAACCTCTGGTTCTGTTTTTCCAACCTGGGAAAACAACAACCAAGTTCAGGTTCTAAAAACAGAACCTGTTTTGTCTTTGCCCAACCAGCGAAATGCTGGTTCTGTAGGGTGCAAATTCACTTTGCACGACATCCTGCCGTCTGTTTGTACGAGTATGCGTATGCGAATGCATTTGCGTGTGCATGGTGTGTTCGTGTGTTTGTTTGCTTTCGCAATTTTCGCTTGAAGCATTTGCAGGTACTCGCGCAATGTGCGCTTCGGCACAACATTGTACGCGTTATGAACAGTGCAAGCAGAAAGGACGAGCTTGCAAAGGAACCCAAGATGGAAGCTTTGCAGTTCGGTTGAGTTGATTGCGCAGATTCAGTTCTATCCAACTCGATGTTGTTTAGCAAGGCAGGCACTTTGTAGCATCCCACCTGAATCTGCGCAATCAACTCAACCGAACTGCAAAGCTTCCATCTTGGGTTCCTTTGCGAGCTCGTCCTTTCTGCTTGCTGTCAAACATTATATGTTTATATGATTGTAGGCTGTAGTGGGTTACACCTTAGGGGGTACACTAGATTAGGGTTTCCTACTTGTATCCAACTTTGTGCTAGTACAGTCATTCCTCGTTCAGTTCTTCTGACATGGTATCAGAGCAGATCCTTCGTGAAGTCGGAGCTGCAGAGGAGACACACGTGCATAGACCTGGGTGAACTGACGAGCTATCTTGGCTTGCGGATCACCCGGGACAGAGCACGGCGCACCATCACCTTGACTCAGTCACACATGGTGCAGCAGATCCTCCAGCGCTTCCGCTTCACGTACTCCTCGCCTCAGTCCACTCCTCTGCCTACCGGTCACTCGCTCCCAGCTCTGCCTTCGGATGAGTCCGTAGAGCCGAGTGGCCCGTATCCAGAGCTTGTGGGCTGCCTCATGTACCTGATGACCTGCACTCGACCTGACCTGGCATACCCTCTTAGCATCCTTGCACGCTATGTCGCTCCTGGCCGTCACAGGAAGGAGCACATGGATGCCGCTAAGAGGGTGTTGCGCTACTTGTGCAGTACGTCGGGCATGGGGCTAGTGCTTGGAGGGCGAGACCGAGTTGTACTCACAGGACACTCAGACGCTTCTTGGGCAGACGACCAGGCTACTCAGCGGTCGTCTCAGGGTTACACCTTCAGCCTTGGCTCTGGCTCAGTTTCTTGGCGTTCTACACGCTCTTCTTCTGTTCTCAGCTCCAGTTGTGAGGCTGAGATCTACGCCACAGCCATGGCTGCCCAGGAGCTACGCTGGCTGACCTATCTGCTGACCGACCTGGGAGAGCGGCCTCGTTCTCCTCCAGTGCTGTACGTCGACAACAAGGCTGCCATTGCCTTGTGTGAGGAGCATAGACTGGAGCACAGAACGAAGCACATCGCCCTGCGGTACTTCCTTGCTCGAGAGCTGCAGCAGCGCGGTCAGCTTTGTATTCGTTACGTGGCCTCTGAGGCCAACACTGCTGATGTGTTCACCAAGGCGCTTCAGCCTTGTGACCATCAGCGCTTCTGCACTCTGCTAGGCCTTGTGCCTACTGGACCTCATTTGCTTACTTCTTGACCTTGCTTGTACTGTGATCACTATAGATATATATATATATATATATATATACCTGCATGTTCACTCTTGTTAGGTTGTGATCACTGTATCTCTTGCTCTATTATAAACCTGCATGTGGACTGGTCTTGTGACCGCTTGCTTGTGCTCGGAATTTGTGTGGAATCCTTGAGATCCACCCTGAGCTTGCCTTCCTTTGCTTTGACTGGTCTCGTGACCCTGTGGTTGTCTCCCACTGCGCCTATGGGGGTGTGTCAAACATTATATGTTTATATGATTGTAGGCTGTAGTGGGTTACACCTTAGGGGGTACACTAGATTAGGGTTTCCTACTTGTATCCAACTTTGTGCTAGTACAGTCATTCCTCGTTCAGTTCTTCTGACACTTGCACTGTTCATAGTGCGTACAATGTTGTGCCGAAGCGCACATTGCGCGAGTACCTGCAAATTCTTCAAGCGAAAATTGCGAAAGCAAACAAACACACGAACACACCATGCATACGCAAATGCACTCGCACACGCATACTCGTACAAACAGACGGCAAGATGTCGTGCAAAGTGAATTTGCACCCAACACACTCCCCCTCAGCCTGCCGGCTGCATTCCCATCATTCCATGCTAGTTCATGCTCATTCCACTCATGCGCACACAACGCCAATGAGGCTCATCCGCAAGCCTCTTGGTGAGAATGTCTGCTGGCTGCTGGTGAGTCTTGATGTAAATCGGATTCACCGTCCCCCTCTTCACCTCCTTACGCAGCCAGTGCCACTTGATACGCATGTGCTTGTTCAGCCCATGAAGCACAGCGTTCCTGGCCATCCCAAGAGCCCCCTTGCTATCACAAAACAGCGGCGTAGCAACCTTCTGCTCCTGGCCAATCTCCTCTAACAGCCTCCTCAGCCAAATCACCTCCTTCACCCCATGGAACATTGCCATGTATTCTGATTCAACAGAGGAGAGTGCCGTCTCCGTCTGCTTCTTGGACCTCCAACTAACAGGTCCTCCCCCAACTACGCAGATGTATCCTCCCACAGATGAGGAATCCTCCTTCTCAGAAGCCCATGTAGCATCGGTAAAGCAAGTCAGAAACAGCTTGCCTTCTCCAAGCCGCTCCCCCTTCTCCTTCAGCACCTCAACCCCCTTCTGCTTCACCTGTGCAGATGCGGAGTATTGGACCCCAATGGTTGGGTGAGAGTTCAAATACTTCACCACATGCTCAGCTGCATCCACCTGCTCCTCTGATGGATTCTGCACCACCCTGGCCAGCTGCCCAACCGAGAAAGAGATGTCGGGCCTCGTGTGAACAGCTGCATACAAGAGGCTGCCCACCAAGGACTGAAATTGCTGCTGCTCTTCAGCTTCAACCCCTTCATCCTCTGCAGCCTTCACAAGCTTGAATTCTGCTGGCAAGGGAGTTGCAACCTTGCGCTCATTCTCAATCCCATACTTCTTCCCCAGCTCCTTGATGAACTTCTCCTGGTGCAGCTTCAACCACCTGTGATCCAGATCCCTCTCCACGTGCATCCCGAGGTAGTACTTTACCTCCCCAAGGTTCTTGCACTTGAAGTTCTCCATCAGCTGCTGCTGCACTTTCTGGATCTCCTTCATGCTGCTGCTGAAGAGAAGAATGTCGTCCACGTAGACCAGAAACATCACCAGCTCCTCCCCCTCCCCCTTGAGAAAGAGGCTCTCATCACAGCTGCTGGTCCTGAACCCTATCTCCTCTAAAACAGCTGCCAACTTCTGGTACCAGCAGCGTGGTGCCTGCTTCAAGCCGTAGATGGACTTTTTCAGCTTGCACACCCTGCCCGTACCATCCTCATACCCAGGCGGCTGCGTCATGAACACCTCCTCCTCTAAAATTCCGTTGAGGATTCGGAGATAACTATAGCAACGGGAGCTAGACTATGGGCTAGGCACGGGTGCTCGTGTGATCTCTGCGTTCGTTGGTCCTTAGTCGTTTTCCTAGTGCACACACTGCTTGCTAGTTCACAAGGCAATTTGGCAAGAGTTTCACTAGAGAAAGTTGACAACAATGATGCAATGAAGTTGGCAAGGTAGGACTACATCAGAGCTAGCATGCAAGCAAGTCTATTGCCAGCGCAGCACGGTCGACCGCGTGCCAGCACGACTTGGTCGACCGCGCTCCAGCAGTGCAGAGTCGCGGCTTGCCAATACTGCAAGTCGACGGCGTGACAACAACGCAAGTCGACGGCGTGCCAGCGTTGCTCCCGCAGTACAGCATCACACCCGCTTCGCAGGTGCTCGCAGATGATTGGCGTGCAGTGCCTCGTCACCTGCACAGCGTGTTGGGTGCAAATTCATATTGCACGACATCCTGCCGTCTGTTTGTACGAGTATGCGTGTGCGAATGCATTTGGGTGTGAATGGAATGTTCGTGTGTTTGTTTGCTTTCGCAATTTTCGCTTGATGCATTTGCAGGTACTCACGCAATGTGCGCTTCGGCACAACATTGTACGCGCTATGAACAGTGCAAGCAGAAAGGACGAGCTCACAAAGGAACCCAAGATGGAAGCTTTGCAGTTCGGTTGAGTTGATTGCGCAGATTCAGTTCTATCCAACTCGAAATTGTACTGTTTTGTTTGGTTTACTATAGTGTAGCAGGGAAGGCACTATAGGGGTACAATTTAGGTGAAGGTTGGATGTTGTTTGTCTGTATCTGCATGCTACAAGGCCAGGGGAAACCAGCGGAACCAGCATTTGGCTGGTTGGGCAAAGACAAAACAGGTTCTGTTTTTAGAACCTGAACCTGGTTGTTGTTTTTCCCAGGTTGGAAAAACAGAACCAGAGGTTGTTTACCAACCTACCACCTGCTATTTTGTCCAGCCAGGTTGGTTCTGTTGCTTGGAATTATTTGGGATCATCCCTGGTTGTTCCCAGGTTGATTCCCAAGGTCCTTGCTAGCTAGAACTATTTAATCCTTCTCTGTTTGTACCTGAATATAGTAAAATTGATTCAAGCGAATTCCTTCCTCGCTGGAATTTCGTTTCTGCGCTATTCGACGGCGGAATGCTACCCGAGTCAACGCTAGTATGCTAGCACTCCAACGCTAGGCAAACGCTGTCCGAGCCAGAACTTAGTAATGGCAGAACTTTTCGCGAGGCAACTTGGCTCATTTTAAAGCTCTTGGAGCGAGCTTCGATATAGCGAATTCTCAGCTTAATCCGACCGACGGTCTGCACGGCACGCTGCGCGACGTTCAAGGTACTCTTGCTGTTTTGACTAAGTCCTTCTTGATCCCTCTCTCTACAAACTCGGACCCGAGGATAGGGGCTGGTCTTGTACCAGGCACCCAGGGACCCTTGGAGGTGACCCCGAGGAGAGGTTTTAAGTTTGATTAAGT